ATTGGAGAGCTCCACAGCCCCTCCTTCTTACCAACTTCTCTATCTGAGAGCAAGCCACTCTTGCTCTGCATTATTTGTTCCTCCAAAAAGCCTGGGAGCAGAAGGAGGAAGCCTGGCTGTATCCAGCTCCCACGAGCATCATCCACCTGGGAAGGCACGGAGCAGGGAGGGCACCACTAAATAATCCCCAGAGCTCAGTGGTTGGCATCGCTGTCCCAGCTCAGGAGGGCTTTCCTCCACTGGCCATTTCTCCTGGAGTGGTTGGGATGAGAGGGAGCCACTGGCTTGGCCGAGGTCACCCCCTTTGCCACTCTGTGCCAGCACCACGTCTGCCAAGGCACCAGCTCCATTCAGTGGAAATGGTGAGGGTTTGTACTACAAATCTCTGTTTAGGGCAGCATTAGTCATCTGCCGTGGGCGTGATTCAAGACCACAGTTAGCTGACCAAATTCCCTATATAGTCAAGAAAGAGACCGAGAAAAGACGGGGGCATGATCCCAAGTGCCTCCCTTGCACGCCTGGAGTCAATACTGCCATTGTGTACAGGCTGGTATTTTAATTTCTGGCTGTAGTGAGTTTTCTGTGGAATCTGTGAAAGCAAAACAACCTTTTAATACTTCATCAAAGTGGTTTTTCCCATTTTTTTCAGCCGCCGGCGGGAGGCACCGCACGTGTTTTCCTGGTTTGCACTCCCCACCAATAAACAGCTCTATTCTGGCTACATCTGCCAGGTGTTCCTGAAGCCTTCATTGAGAATCAATCCCAAAAAAAACCGCCCTAGGAGCAGCATTTCTCTCCCCCTCACCTCCAAAGCAGGGCTGGCAAGGAGCACTGGGGGCCAGATCACAAAGAAGGGTTTTTCTAAGGCCTTAGAAATACAAGGGAAACACACAAAAATGAAAGTAATGGAGTGAGGAGACAGAAAAAGCACAAAAGCCCTCTGAGGATTCAGGTAAACCATTGGAATGAGGGAAACCCTGGGCAGTTACAGTCACTTGCACAGGTAAAGGGAGCAGGAGCCTGGGAGATAATAGGACTTAGGATTAGTGAAACACAAATGAGGGAATAACTGAACCAAAAATACATCTGCAGGGACACGGGTCATTCACCGCCAGCTGTCAAGGAACTGCGTAGGAAAGAGTTGCTATCTTTAGTTACCTGTTGTGTGAGGAGGCAGAAAAAATGATGCAGTGATGCAGCAGTGCTGGAAAAGAGTAAACATCATCAAAAGTTCATTCACGAGGGAGGAAGGGGCAGCCCAGTGAGCCTGACACTGGTATTGGTGGAACAACAGGCTATTCAATTTCTGAGCACTTCTACAGTTATAAAAAGCACTGTGATGCCAGTTTTCTCATCAAATTTCCGAATTCCCTTGTTTCCTCCCCCCATCAGTCATTTTGCCTTCACACTGCCCTTCAGGTTCTGGTTCTTTTCCCCTCCACATCAGCATTACCCTCATTTCCCCCCGACCGAAGGTGTTTACATGTTTATGTCAGCTTATCCAGTGACACCATGACTTTCTATCTTTGGAATAACCAGCAACACTTCTATTTCCATAGTCTCCTTTGTGACTCAAAGTGATGCAATCTCCCAGTTTGCATCCATCAATTGTTCTTGAACAGTTCCCTGGGACCATTTGCTGTTGGCAATTAAGTTCTGTTGGTCCCATTAAGTTTTGTGCCATTGTTTCCATTTCCTGACTGGAGGACAAGGCAAGTCACTGCAGTGCTAATATTAACACGACATGATTTTGCTGTTTGCTTGTGCAAATACTTGTACCTGCAGCTTTGAAAGAATCACTCTTTGAGCCACAGCTCGTTTGGTTGAACACTCATGACCAGCACAAGCAAATGGAAAGCAAGAACAGTCCAGCAAGTTTCTTTAATCATATGCACAAATCTGAGTGGATTTTTGTTTCAATACTCTTTACCCAGTTCTCCATCACAACTGTGAGCCTGTTTTCCTATATTTGTGTTCTCTTTCTTTGTCCAGCTTAACTTCATGGTGGTTTGCTTTTCTTCCCGTATTCCTAAGATCTCCTCCATTCATCTCGCTACCTCATGAGCCTTTCTCCTTCCTGATTTATCCTTGGCAGCCCTTAAAGCAAATACTCCCTATTATAAACTCTGTTACTACTTGAAATCTAATCTTCTGTTCAGCAAAGTTTGTTTAGGATGGGTCTTGCTCCTCCCTTGGGATTTGGTTTGCACACTTTTTAGCGACACATTTTAACCAGCTGTGAAAGACCTCAGCCGAAAATTCCCTCTAAAAATAGGGCACCAGCCACCTCAGTGAAATCAGAGATTGCAAAGGAAGAAAACTGTTATTAAGAGTAACAAAGCAACCGTGTTACACCATCCATTGTGCTTTTGCATGGTTTGGAAACAGGGCAGAAGGTACCTTTGGTGTGCAACCAAAAGATCTTGATTAACCTGTTGAGGTGGGCAAATGCTCCTGGATATTTCCTGGGAAAATTGTGGAGGGGGAATTTTAATGGTTAAACATTGCTGCAGGGGAAATGTCTCCTTTTCCTTAGGGGAAGAAGTGTGCCTGGCAGAAGGAATGCCCTCCAGATAAAGCCTTGGGATGAGCCATCAACATGCCCTGCATTTCTCCCTGCCCGTGCCCCACCTCGGCAGAGCTACATTTTCTGCCCGTACAACAAGTGGCAGCTTGTGGAATACTCTTCCTCATTCAAATGAGACACTCTCCAAACAATCCTAGGGGGCAAACAAACCTCCAGTGGTGTGCTATCAAAGGAGAAAGATCTGCACCCGCACCAGTAAAAAACTGCATTGTGAAATACAGTTCACAACTTGCATTGTGAAATACTTGTGTTGACACAAACTAAAGCTGAAGAAACACATCCACCAAATGGAAGGAAATCAAAATTAAATTACCCAACAGTATCATCTCCCTGTTCATTCAGCCGTGTTCCCTCCCAATTTTCTACCAGTTCATTTACAGTGAAACTCAATGTATATCTGCACTGCAACCAGCTCCAGTTATAGCTCCTTTTTCTGCATTTTACAGCTTGGGAAAGTAGATATATTAAAATAATAGCCTGGTTTAAGCACAGTTTTCATACCCTTACTGTCACAGTCACATTGAAATAGAGTCTGGGGATTCAACATTATCTCTTTATATCTTTTATTATCTCTTACTACGGCAAATCCTACACGCAGAAATATATAATAGACCTAATAATAGAAATCAGGAACTTGAGACAGCAATGCAAATCCCCGAGCTCGGTGATGTGATAGGCACTTAGAAGATGCAAATTTGCTTATTGGTTCAGGCAGGCAGTCTGCTGATGACAGCAGGGAGCCAGGCCAGGGCTCACAGACCCACCCCAAAATTTCCAGTTCAACCACAGGTTCCTGCCTTACCTTACTCCAGCCACTTAATCCCGCAGATCTGTTTACAGCTGGCAAAAGGAGAATGCTTGCCTTCCCTATCACAGGGTGATTATGAAGGCAAAATCCCTTAATTGCCGTGAGGAATGAGAAGGTTTTGAGGGCTCTGGCAGCCTCTTGCTGGATTTTAAACACTTATTTCACTGCTGCATCTGCAGGAGCAGGACAGACCAGTGGGCTTGTGGTCAGGCAGAGCCTGCAGTCTCAGGGCACGGCCAGACACACTGTTTTAGTTGGAGCTGCTGTGGATTTAGAGGTGATTTTTCTCCCCAGCTGTCTGCCACCGTTTTCAAACCCAGGGTGGTTGTGCCAGTGCAGACACCGAGCTGGAGGAGAGCAGCATGCAGAGCTTCAGAGCCACGATGTTGGAATTAACGGTTTGATATTTGTTAAACTGCTGCGCCATCTATGTTCAGGCAAGGCCCGTGTCACAAACATAGAATCATAGAATCATAGAATCATAAAATCATAGAATCATAGAATCATAGAATCATAAAATCATAGAATCATAGAATCAGCTGGATTGGAAGGGACCTCCGAGATCATCAAGTCCAACCCTTGATCCAACCCCACTCTGTTTCCCAGCCCATGGCACTGATGCCACATCCAGTCTCTTCTTAAAAACCTCCAGGGACGGAGAATCCACCACTTCCTTGGGCAGCCCATTCCAATGGCTGATTACCCTCTCTGGAAAGAAATTCTTTCTAATATCCAACCTAAATCTCCCTTGGCACAACTTGAGACCAAGCCCTCTTGTCTTGCTGAGAGTTGCCTGGGAAAAGAGACCAACCCCCCCCGGCTCCCCCCTCCTGTCAGGGAGTTGTAGAAGGTGAGGAGGTCTCCCCTGAGCCTCCTCTTCTCCAGGCTGAACAGCCCCAGCTCCCTCAGCCTCTCCTCACAGGACTTGTGCTCCAGTCCCTTCACCAGCCTCATTGCTCTCCTCTGGACCTGCTCCAGGACCTGTTCCATCATCCCTGAAATGGCACAGTGAGGAACCTCCCGTGGAGTTCGAGTTCTCTGCCACGGGTGTCCCTGCACTGACCACACCAATGAGCAGGGCAGGGTGACACCTCTGGGGGGCACCTTCACAGAATCACAAAATCATTGAAGTTGAAAAAGCCCTCAGAGATTATCAAGTCCAACCCGTGCCTGATGCCCACCTTATCACCCAACCCAGAGCACTGAGTGCCATGGCCAGGCCTTCCTGGGACACCTCCAGGGATGGGGACTCCAAACCTCCCTGGGCAGCCCCTTCCAATGCCTCACCACCCTTTCCAGCAACAAATTCCTCCTCCTGTCCAATCTGAGCCTCCCCTGGCACAGCTGGAGGCCGTTCCCTCTCCTCCTGTCCCTTGTTCCCTGGGAGCAGAGCCCGACCCCTCCGGCTCCCCCCTCCTGTCAGGGGGTTGCAGAGCCAGAAGGTCCCCCCTGAGCCTCCTTTTCTCCAGGATGAGCCCCCCCAGCTCCCTCAGCCTCTCCTGCTGCTCCAGCCCCTTCCCCAGCTCCGCTCCCTTCCCTGCACACACTCCAGCCCCTCCATGTCTCTCTTCCATGAAGGCCCAGAACTGGACACAGCCCTGGAGGTCCAGCCTTCCTCGCACTTGGGTTGTATTCACTTTTGGGTTGGCCAACTTGTGAGTGGCATCAGCACTGTGATTTCCCTTCAAATGCCTCAACCAACATCAGGAAAGGTCCCTGAGGCTCCATGTCTGTCCCTCTGCAAGGGAGAAACAGTAGGATCCATGATCCATGGAGGTGAAGCTCATAATAAACAACTGAGGGAGCTCCTGCTACAGCTGGCAGGAGAAACAGCTTGTCATTCCTCAAAACCTAGAGACACCCAAATGCATTTCTTCTCAAACCACTGCCCTTCTCAGCACTTGCTTTTTAAAGTACTGTGGTTTCATGTTCCCTTTTCTAAAGTGCCAAGGCATTGCAGGGTCAGGTGTCCCTCTTTTGGAAGTCCAGCTCTTTTCCTAACTGTCCTCCTCCCAGCTGGAGTAGGATCCCTGCAATAAAGCTGTGTCAAAGATAAAAGAATCACTGCCTGGGCTGGTTTTGACTCAGTTAGAGTCGATTTTCTCCATAGCAGCTGGTGTGGGGCTGTGGTTTGGATTTGTGCTGGAATCAGTGTTGATAATCCAGGGGTGTTTTAGTTGTTGCTGAGCAGCAATTAAACACCATCAGGGGCTCTCCTACTCCTCAGTCCACCCCACAGGTGCACAAGGAGCTGGGAGGGGACACAGCCAGGACAGCTGACCCCAACTGACCACAGGGATATCCCACACCATATGGAGATGAGGGAAGAAGGAAGGGGGGAAGTTTGGAGTGATGGCATTTGTCTCCCCAAGTCGCTGTTACACGTGATGGATCCCAGCTTTCCTGGGCTTGGCTGAACACCTGCCTGCCATGGGAAGTGGGGAATTCTGCCTTGCTTGTGTATGTGGCTTTTGCTTTGCCTATTAAACTGTCTTCAGCTCAACCCACAGGTTTTCTCACTTTTGGCTTCCCAGTTCTCTGGGGAGTGAGAGAGGGGCTGTGTGGGGCTCAGGGGCTGGCTGGTACGTGCTGTCCTTCCCACCAGATGAAAAGGAGGGGGGAAGGGGTGTCAGCAGAAGCATTTCAGATATTTCCTTTTTAGGAAAGCTTTCCACTGTGTTTTCATCCCGAAAAAAAACCCCAAAAGGTGGTGTTTCAGGTCATGCTACCTGTCAATGCCTCATTGGAAATGTGCACAGAGACTCTTACAGGCACATCCCACCCCAACGCCAAGGGAACCATTTGCAAGCACAGTCTCTGCAGAGCAGCTCCTTGTCTCAGTGCTCTGCATACGCCCTGAAGTGCTTGTAAATACCATTCATGGCACTAACTACCACTTCACCTTCAAATGATCAGGCTGAGTGTGAATCTGGCTCTGAATCCAGGGATTCTTTCACTTCTCCCTCTCCCCTTTCCCTCGTACCCCCCTCGAGCAGTGACAGCACCTCTTGGGAGCACGCACAGAGCTCTTGCTTGCCGTGGAAGCCACACCCCTCGTCCTCCCATCCTGCAGGGATACCGCTGAGTTCTTGAGAGTAGGGACAAAAAGGAGGAAAAAAACGTAAATCAATTGTTGCAGTGCAGCAAATTCACTGGTTGGCAACCAGTTGTCACCTCTTGGAAGAGCAGATAAGGGACAACCGCACCACTCACCCATCACTCCCCTGCTCCAAGAAGAGCTTTTCACTCCCCTGTCTTACTCCCCCAGCAAATCTTGATTGCCAGCCACTTTTTCAACCAGCTTGATGTCACTACTTCTCCTCCCCTCTCCATTTCCCGGGGGTCAGGACAGTCACATAGGTAAAGGAGCACCTACTCCCAGACCTCAGCTGTCTCTCCATTTTGCATGCCACAACCTCTGGATTTTATCATTTATCATTTAAACATCTGGCTCAGCAAAGAGATGCCTAGACCGTGTGCCAGCAGAAGCAGCAGTGGCTCCTGTGCCACTGCCCCTCTCCTTGGTCCCTGTGGATGCTGCACACCAGGTGCCTTCAAGCTGAGGCAGAAGCTGCACGGACATTTCCAAGATCACACCTTCAAACTTAGCCCTGAAACGGATCTTTTCCTTGTGTTTGCCTCTCGGCTTCACGGGCCGCTGCCAAAGCAGTGCCCCTGCAGTCGTTGAGAGCTGGAATTGTAAACAAGGCAGATTTTCCAAGGGAATTTCCAAAAGGCTGTGAGATTCCCAACCCTTGGTGGCTTTTTTGTTACTCAAATGTGGTGCACTTCAGGGTGTATTTCAAAGAAGGTGATTGTCCTGGAGAGGTACAGAGTTGTTAATTATTCAACATTGGTTGTAGGGGGGGCTTGCAGACCATTAATGAGGGCAGAATCACACGGCAGCAGCTCATCTGAGAGACCCTGGGAGATATATGAGCCATTTATGAAAACTATTTTATTGTGAAAAGTGTTAAAGGCATCCTTTAAACTGCTCCTCCTCGGCATGTTTTATTAGCAATTCGTTTCTGTCACACCTCAGGTCAAGCTACTGTAGGTCTTGCGGTGATTTTTTTGGTTTTTAACGTGGTTTTATTTAATTGCTGTCTGGAAGATTGTTTTGAATCCTCTGCGTGCCCTGTGAGCGGCTGTCTGGGTCCTCTTCCAAGCTGACCTTCCATAGCAAAGCAGGAAACTTGACTGTGTTCAGCCTTGTGTGACTGCCATTGCTAAAGGACCACTGCCACACACTGGCAAACTTGGAAATATCTATTTGCCTAAAGTACTGCTGATGGGTTGGTTTTTTTTTTCCTCATCCAACATCTCTTCTTCCCAAAGGATTTGTGTGGAAACAAGATTTCTTTCTTTTCTAAACCAGATTCATCCCTCTACCCGATTCTGTCAGAGATGCTGCACAATTTGCTCCACAGGATGCCCCGAGCCAGGTCCAGTCCTGCTGTCCATGGGGGGCCGGGGGTGGCCCTTTGTGACACAGGCACCTTCCAGGGCCCTTTGTGACACGGGCACCTTCCAGGGCCCTTTGTGATGCGGGACATGGGCGTGCCCAGAGGCCTTTGTGACATCCTAGACCCCGCCCTCCCCCAGGGGTATATAAGGGGTGCAGAGTTCAGCCTGTCCCAGCTGCTCCTCAGGAGTGGCTCCTCTCTCTGTCTCTTTCTTTCTCTCTCTCTCTCTCTCCCCTTCTCTCTCTCTCTCTCTCTCTCTCTCATCCTCCCCCCCACTCTTTGCCTCCTCCGCCACCCGCGGATGGACCTCAGGCTTCCACAGGATGGGGAAGGAACCCCCAATATCCTGGACTTCCCATCGGTCTGGCCGACCCATTTTTTTCCCCTCCCTTCTTCCTCCTTTCTTCTTCTTCTTCTTCTTCCTCTTCTTCTTCTTGGTCTTCTTCTTCTTGGTCTTCTTCTTCTTCATTTTCTTCTTCTGCGTCGTCTTCTTCCTCTTCTTCCTGGGGTGCAAGGGGACAGCCAACAGGGGCACATGTGCTGACTTGGTCAGGCAGTCACAAGTCCTCCAATTCCTGGAACTACAGGGGCACATGTGCTGACATTGGTCAGGCTGACGCATGTCCTCTGGTTCCTGGAGCAGCTTAAGACGGAACATGGTGTCCTAAGAGGACACATGTTCCCGGAAACAGGCTGTTATAAGGAGGCACTTGTTTTTAAATAAATATTGAAATAAAGATACCTGCCGAGTCCTGTCTCTTTATTTTACATTAATATATCACAGGTGGCGCCCTTCGCGTGGGGCACAACCTACATTAGGATGTAGCTTTAAAAGCGTCCGATCTCAGCAAGCGGCTGAGAGACGCAAGATTAAACCGAGCTCGGAAAAGATAGGAAGGGCACTGATCCAGGAGAAGAAAAAAAGCCGAGGGAAGACGGATCGAGGGAGAAGCCGCCGCCCGGGGCCGCTCCGTGGGATCTGCCGCTGCAGAGGGAGCGGGAATCACTACAGCCTGGAGCACTGTCCTAGTTAGAACAGCTGGGACCAGTTCATCACTGGATGGGTGTAACTCAAAACTGTGTATTCTATAGCCTTCCATGCCATTGCCCAGAAACTGTTATCAATAGACCATTTACACCATCTGCCCAGAGCAGCCCTGACTCCTCAGGCTGGGTGTCAAGAGGCCTGTGAGACAGGAGGATGCTCCTGTCCTCACACCCATTGTGGAACTCCCTGCCCCGAGGGAGGGACTGGGCATTCCTACCTGAACCGGAGGATATATAATCTTGGAGTCTTGGGACTTTTTTAACCACTCGTGGGATCCAGAGGAAGACTGAGACCACCACTCTCAACCAGACTGAGACCACCACTTTTCAACCAGACTGCAACCACCACTCTTGCCCAGACTGCACCAGCACTCTCACCAACAGGTTTTTTCCCTTTCCTTTTACTTTGGACACAGGGGGCCCAACGAACCCCACTCTGTTCATGCCCCAGGGTGCTGGGTTATACCTTTGGGTTTTGTGGGTTAAAACCAATTTTTTGTCTGTATAATCGTATTTGTTGTATTATTTTATTAAATTGTTATTCTGACTTATAATCTCTCTCTTTTGAGTTGGGTTCATTTCCCCTGCTGGTTTACCTTTAAACCAGCACATTGGGTTACACCCACACAGTGATGAACTGGTCCCAGCTGTTCTAACTAGGACATTCTTCTTCTTCTTCTTTCTTCTTTCTTCTTTCTTCTTTCTTCTTTCTTCTTTCTTCTTTCTTCTTTCTTCTTTCTTCTTTCTTCTTTCTTCTTTCGTCTTTCTTCTTCTTCTTCCTTTTCCTTTCCTTTTCCTTTTCCTTTTCCTTTTCCTTTTCCTTTTCCTTTTCCTTTTCCTTTTCCTTTTCCTTTTCCTTTTCCTTTTCCTTTTCCTTTTCCTTTTCCTTTTCCTT